TTAACTATACTAATATTATTGATCGTCTGTGGTTAATATTGTTGGATTAACGTGAAATATTGATAGTGATTTGAATTTTGATTCTCGAGGATCAGTAGTGCTTTATTAGGATCCATGTTACAGTATATCACAGTGCAACATATAATGTACGTAAAACTAAAATTAAACATATCAATAATACTGATCGTGTAAGATTGTAAAATATCGTCAGTATTACTGATTTAATATCACTAACAGGACTGGGGATGTATTTGAAATACTTTTATTTGAGAAACGGTATTTATAGGACAATTGTATATCTTGTATTTTGTATTTCAGCAAAACACATGAAAATGTTTGGTATTTTATATTTCATGGGAGTATATAAAAGTATTTTGTATTTTAATATTAATAACGCAAGATTAAAAGATTTTGTATTTTTCGTATTTTCAAAAAATATGTGCTAAGATTGATAATTAATCTTATTATATTATTTTTAAATTCCGAAATACATGAAACTTTTAACCTTTCAATTTTAAATTTAAAAACAAGATATAGTACATAATCATTTCATGTGTACAGCGAATGAAATATAAAATATAAAGTACACTTTCCTTGCAAAAACTATGTTTTAAATAAAAGTATCTCAAATACATGCCAGTCTTAATAATTGATCAGAATTATTGATTGTACAGTCACATTTACAGTTAGTGTTGAGCATCGAAAAATTATAACATTGATGTTATGTTACTTTTAGTTAATGTTGATCGAGACAACGCCAAAATGACTGTAAAATAATGATCAGAATTTTTCGATCAATTACAATTAATTTTAACGTTTCTTTAACATTATCTGTTTATTCTGTTTGGGTTCGCTCTGAATAGATATCTTATAAAGAAATAATGTTCAATTTCTTTTCTTAAAGATCAACGATATATTTAGTCCATTTTAAGACGAATGATTAATTGGATAGTCCTGCGACAAGTATATAATAATTAAGAATAATTGCGCTGGGATTTTTGAAGAGTTAAGATTTTGAGTTCCGCTTTCGTTTGAGTCCATTTAATAATGCTCTTCATCAATGGAACCTGATGTACTCGACAAGCCCGCGCGCGCGAGGGTCAATTGCTTATTAACTTAAAGAGCCATAGCGGTTATTAAACGATTTCATTGTCATTGAAATGGTTTGCAAAAAACGAAAACGGTCGCGTTCATCCGGAAACAAGCATATATTCGATTATTTAATCTTCCATAGATCGATTCATTACATAGTCGTTATGAACGAATTTCTTTTACAATTTAAGTTGGCGTGTTGGCAAATCAGAGGAAACGTTTTACTACCTTCGGGTTCTGAAAAAAGTACCTCGTAAACATCGCACTTCGTAAACGTCGCCATGTGTCCTTTTTACAGTCGCCTTAAACGAGTCGCCGGAAATGAGGCAATTTGGCGGTCATACATTTATACGTCGGTTTATGAAATTAGATCAAACATCCTTAGAAACGGACTAAACAACGCCGCATCAGCAGTCACTCGATGCTGTACAGCTGCATTTGGTATATCATCAGATACGTCATCGTATACATTACTCAAAATTACCGTGTCATCACGTGCAGAATCATGGTTACTAAAGAGTACACGAATTACACATATTTTACGAGCTGGTTTCCTCGTAGAAATATTTGAAATCGATTTATCAGTTAAATACTTACTCAGTTTTAGCAGTAATGAATAAAATACCACATAAAAAAAATAGAGATTTTAATAACAAAAAAGTAGAAATTTAATTAAAAAATTAATAACAATGAACTTTTTGTTTTTGTCTTCTCTCTTTCTCTCTCTTTCTTTCTTTATTACTTTAAATTATTTATATATTTTAATTTAAATATTGTAGAAACATTCTATTGATTTTTATCAATTTTAAATATTTAATTTTAAAAGTAAAATATCAAATAAATCATTTAAATGTAAAATTAATAGAAATTAACTTTTTGTATTAAGAGGAGAGAGAGAAAGAGAGACACGCTTTCAAATTTTATTACGATGTATTTATTTATTTATTTTTTCTCTCTTTATTACTTTGATTATTTATATATTTTATAATAAGCATCTTATATTTGTCTAAAATTATCCATTCGATCTTTGCGTGCCATTAAATATGCTCGCCAAATTAGGAAAATAAACCTTAGAATCGGACGAGATTCTATTTAATACGGCTATTTGATTTTCGTGTCACGTTAACATTTGAATGCCATCTTAATAGGCAAATAAAATTCAAAAGTGGGTGGCCACATTTATGTTAAGAATACGAATTATTATTTGTTACGAATAATTTCACTTTTTCTCAAAGCGATTAAAATATCTGTAAATTCTTTGCTTCAACTAATAAATGCTAATATGCTACTAACGAATTTAGCTGTACTGTATTTAAAGTTCCAAAAGTTGTTAATTTATCGTTAAATACATTTAATTCATTACGACCAATATTAAAAAAAAAATTTTGTCAGTTATCTTTCGAGTTTAAAATATGCTTCAACGATGAGATAGAAGTTAGTGAGATCAATTTCTGATTGGTCTTACCTGGCGGACGTTGACTTTAAAGAGCCATTCGCATAGAGATCGGCTGCCATAATACCGGTGTCAATCCGATGACATCCCGTGGGATGGTCCGAAGAATGTATATATATAAACTAGGATCCCGCCGATCTTGTCTATTCCTCCCTTCCTATTCCTTTTCCTCCGTGAAAAAGCAGCTATCACGTATTTATTCTTCTTCAAGGATTCTTCGAAATTTTGTCACTGACAATCGTCAACCTTGACCGGGATCATTCTCATCGTGAATGAAACACCAATCGCTTCGGTCTAAACACGCTCGTATTATTGACATTATCCTCATATCACAATACACGATACTGTCGGCATGTACCGGCTTTTAGAACATATATACGTACGTATATCCTCGTCTATTTAACCGTGACGCGAAAATCCCGTCAAAGACAACATCGGCGCGATTTCGGGAAAAGAGCGTGTGGATTGTCGCGTGGCGAGCACAATTTCGAGGGAACGACTGTCGCTCCGTTAACGGAGATATAGGATCATCCTGTGCCCGCCTCGTGACTGAACTATGTCAGACGGGGCACTGTCAATTGGATAACTACCTACCCCACATTGGCACAGTATTGTCGCGTATATGTGTGTGTAATGTAACGTATCGTTGATGTTGAAAGCTTGCACGTAGTCCATGTTCTCCCACTTCTTCTAGATCACTTAATCTCCTTCTTCTTCTTCTTCTTCTTTTTCTTATATGAGTGCTTTTTTTTAGATACAATATACATTATAGATATTTTCTTGGCTTTCCACTTTTTTTTTTCCTATTTTCCTTTTCGTTCTAGTTCTACTCTCGCAGAGAGTAGAACTAGAAAGAGTCCGTTTGATGTTTCACATGGAAAATATAATCGATTTATAACTTGAATTGAAAGCCCTGCCAATTCCCATTCTTATTTCTTATTTTTAAAGAGATCTATTGTCAATTCGTCATTCGATTACTTACTGTTGCATTCATTAGTATTTATTGCTTCTGACGTTACTTGGAATCGAAGTAAATGCTAGGAAGATCGCATTATCTCGTATATTCTGTCGTCATTTCGATAGTATGAATTAACTGATGACGCGAGAAGAATAATCCGTATCATACAGCACATCGGCTCAATCACGCCGACCTTGCAAACCAACTAATGCCGATCTTCGCGGGAAAGCCTATAGATAAATTTGAATTTTTATTAATATCCCATGTTTATCATGCAAAATAATTTTTTTCATATCATGTTAAATATCTCATCAATTTTAAATATCTATGCTTATCCGTAAACTTTATAAAAATCATAAATTCGCTAAATATTTTATTTAGATTCTTCTTTGCTTTAAAACTAAGCTAATCCTGTTCATAAACAATAAAATCTTCCTCAATACTCAAAGAAATATATAGTGATAACAATAAAATCAAAATGTTCCTTTACTTAATTCGCGAATAACTCATGAACAAAAAATCATATAAAATAAAACGAATATACAGGACTCTTAGTATTAAAAATTGTCAATGAAATAAAAAGGCAATTAAGAGTCAATATTAATTGTGTGAACTAATAAAACATTTAATATATTATAAATTAAAATAAAATATCAATAAATTCACACTTTAAAAGCGCACGCAAACATAAGTCAAATCATAACGTTTCGGCTGCATATTCGAGCCATCCTCAGATGAACATATAAATATTAATTAACGCAGTAAAACATCTTTAGTTAACGCAGAAAAAACAAGAAAATTACTATGATGGATTGTTATGTTCTAAAACGTTGAGTATTTCACCGAGAGAACAATTTAGCTCATCAAGCGATTGGAAGATCGTTTGTGATGTATCCCTGTGGTACTAATCAGGACACAAAATTAACGTTATATTAATAAAACAATGTGACAAGCAATTGTCCCTCTGACAAAAAACTCACCCTCAAGTAATCCATGTCGTTAAAAGAGTCATTTATTAAAATTCGGTGACAATCAAAATCGTTATTTCGTTAACACATTACAAATATAAGTCGTTCCAAATATAAAACTTTTATAACCGTCCAACTAACTCGACGTACAAAACTATAATGTTTAAGATTTTCATCACAGATGTCACAGATTGGAACAAGGACATGAGTTCGATTGGAATAATGTACAAATTTTAGATGAAGAACCGTGTTATGGGAAACGTATTGTCGCAGAGATGCTCAACATTAAAAAACAGCAAAACAGTCTTAACCTACAAACGGACACATTAGATCTGCATGAAGCATATATTCCTATTATAAACAAGATATGACTTTGCATTACCAAAATCTTAAACATTATAGTTTTGTACGTCGAGTTAGTTGGACGGTTATAAAAGTTTTATATTTGGAACGACTTATATTTGTAATGTGTTAACGAAATAACGATTTTGATTGTCACCGAATTTTAATAAATGACTCTTTTAACGACATGGATTACTTGAGGGTGAGTTTTTTGTCAGAGGGACAATTGCTTGTCACATTGTTTTATTAATATAACGTTAATTTTGTGTCCTGATTAGTACCACAGGGATACATCACAAACGATCTTCCAATCGCTTGATGAGCTAAATTGTTCTCTCGGTGAAATACTCAACGTTTTAGAACATAACAATCCATCATAGTAATTTTCTTGTTTTTTCTGCGTTAACTAAAGATGTTTTACTGCGTTAATTAATATTTATATGTTCATCTGAGGATGGCTCGAATATGCAGCCGAAACGTTATGATTTGACTTATGTTTGCGTGCGCTTTTAAAGTGTGAATTTATTGATATTTTATTTTAATTTATAATATATTAAATGTTTTATTAGTTCACACAATTAATATTGACTCTTAATTGCCTTTTTATTTCATTGACAAAAAATCATATGTAGGAACGTTTTTAAAAAATCGATTTTGCAGGGAAAGCTTCAAACTTTTACGATAGATAGTCGAAAATTTTCGTAACTTTTTTTTGGCACGTAAAAGACTCACAAATTGAAAAGAAAATTTTTTATCTTTTTCAACTCATAGTTTTTTATATATGAAAATTATCATAATATTCAAACTCGTAATACTAAAAAAATATAGTAACCTTTCAAAAATAAAGATTTCAAGCTTTAAAACTCTTTTTTTAAATTGAAATTTCGTTTATATTTTACGAAGATGTTGTATATACAATTTTGAGTTGGAAAATTGAAACAAACTTTCCGAACAACCTAATATTTTATGGTTGCAATAACCATAAAACGATTCATAAAACTTGTATACCTAGTTATTATAGTTGCTATAATTGTTATTTTCTCTGAGTAAATGATTTTTTAAAGCGATCTTTACGTAAATAAAATCTAAATGTGTCATCAGCATATTTTGTAGTTATAAAATATTGAAAATTTAAATGAACTATGGAAACACCTTTTAATTTCCCGTAACATAAAAGGCAAGATTTGGAGTAACGGTTCTAGAAAAGAAAAAATAAGAATAGGAATAAGAGTATACAGATGAGAGAAATTAAAAATACGCATATTGTATTTCATCGATATGACAAACGGTGTGAAATCATTTCGTCAGTTGGAAATACTCTAAACGAATGATTCATCCTACCTCCAATTCCCACTTGCGACGTCGACCCTCCGCGCGTGCGATTTACGCATCATCAGATTTGATGGGTCGCTAAAGGCTGCTGACTGAGACCTCCATCGAAGGTTTAGACTTTATCAGTGACGCAACGTTATACTTAAGAGACATTGACAATTCGATGTCATTGATAAAAGAATAATCGGATATGCGCGCATGCATGACTCGTATAAGGCCAATTGAGATTCTTGGGATTCTTCTGCTGGGAAATCAATTTCAGTTTGATCAAAATTGGAGATAATCCAGCGTGTCACTCTGCAAAAATTTTTGAAATTGATTGTTATTATTTACGTAAAATTAAAACACAATTTTTTATCTGCAATGTGTATTTAATCTAGGACTCTGATTTTATTCAGTTTTTCTCGAAAATACGTGTAAACGTGAAAAGTTTATTCATTTATATTCACTTTTAGAAAAACGTTTACTTGTAGGTAAACGTTTACACATATCATTAGTATGTCCGTTTATTAGAAACGTTTATCTGAATACACTTTTATTCTACGTACATATTTTTTCATTTTTACTACACTTAAACGTTTTTTTACACCCAACAAAATTTTTTGTTTTCACCTCGTGACACTAGGAAGACTTTTTATAAAGGGATAAACGCTTATAATGAAAAAACGAAATATTTGGAAAAACATTTTTCGTAGATAAATGTGCTAAGTATACGTGTAAATGTATTTTCGTTTAAACATATAATAGCGGAGCCCTATTTAAAACACACATATTCGGGAAAATGTTTCTAATAAACGGATGCTAATTATATGTGTAAACATATTTTCGTTTAAACGTATAATAGCAAGCCCTAGTTTAATTATAGTATATCATAGTAAAGAAATTTGAAATTTTTCTCATTACTTTTTGTTTGTTTTTTTATAAGATAGATGTACATTTCGTTTGCAGATTGCCGAACTTTTTATCCTCAACCATGTGCTCTACGTGTTGAGCAAACCACTAAATCGTACTCAGTTAATTAGGGACAGCTTTGGTCCTAAGCTTAATTATCAGAACTATCTACGTGACATACCGGTAATGAGAGATGTCTCTTATCCGCTGGAGGAATATTATGACGCGGAAACTACAGCAAGGGAACTACAGCAGCTGAACAGACATAGCAGAAATATGATGCACGTTAGTAAATTGTTTTTAATTCCTAAAAAGGGTCGTTCTTCATTAAAGTTCATTCAACATTACTATCTCAGAATGTGACGCCAAAAGCGAGAAAATACAAAGAGCGCTAAAAAATATTTAAATAAATTTTTTTTTTAATTTTATGAAAATAGAGAATTAAATTAGATAGAATCCCTGTCAAATTCTTTTAATTTATCTATTTTTCGAAAATGTTTATTGTTGATTTAAATTATATTATTTAATATTTATACTATATATTATTTATACTATATACTATATATATATGTATATATATATATATATATGGTATATATGTCACTATTTGTATTAAGATAAATGTGTATTCATTTTACAATTTATGTAGGAATATCGCAATCTTTGCGAAACAATAACAAAAAAAGTGGAGATTTTCGACGACGATTACGAGTATCAACCCCCACATTATTATGAGGTCTACTGTAAGGGCTACTTGATGTTGAGAGAAGACGAACGAATGATAAAACCATTAGAACAAGTAAACTTATACGTTATACAGTGAAATAAATGAAAATTCAATGAAATGGATTCAAAACGGCAGTTTTTATTAAACAAAAAAATATAGATCGACTAAAAGCAAGTTAATAAATATTTAGTGTTGCAAGACAATTTCCAAGAAATTATAAATCTGATAAGTCAGACTTTCATTGAGCCGATTTTAAATACGGAAAAATGAGAAAATGTTTCTTTTATTTACCAAAGTTTTGATTTTAGTTTTAACATTTTTTTTTTTTCCAGAAATGCGTTTATCCGGCATTCCATTGCGTGCAAAGAAATCGGCTTTTATTTTTGGTCAGACGACGTTGGAATAGTGAATGTTGGGAACCATACACAAAAGAAATCGCCAGTGGTTGTGACTGCATGTGGCCAGTCACTAGCCTTGGCGAAATAAACGAACACTATTGATTTAGTCAAATTGTATGTTAGTTAATGTATTATTAAATAGTGAAAGTATATCGTGGAACTCTCTTCTCTCTGAATCTTAACAGGATCTTTCATAAAAATATTTATTCATTGTATTATATATGTATATATAAACACAAATGACAGAATATAACTTTCGCGCGTAATCAGCTTACCATGATAAATCCTTCTCTCTTACATTTATTGCGGAAAATCAACAACGTAGAAGAATAGAAATATTAGTCATCTCGAGAAATACTTCTCTATAAAACTATATTCTTCCTGCAGTATTATTTCCACGAGTTCGCTTTATGTTTTGGTAAAAAATGAAATCCATCAGGCACTTTCCCGAGTAACATCTCACTAAAAATAAACAAACTCGTTAATATAGGCAAAACTGACACTGTTCAATGGATGCATCAAACTAATAGTCTTACGATAATTTCACCCAATCAGCGCAATTGGAACTAGCCATCAACGTTTCCATATCATCGCGACCTCTGTAAAACGGTGGTCTCTCGTTGATCCGCTGTGGTGGTCTCTCCAAAATTCCAACGGGAACATATCTGCAATACAGTGTTCAATGTAAATCCATATTAAAAAATAATAATGCTTTAATCGATAAAAACACATTCTTCTCCAGACAAACTTGCCTGTGAAGGAAGGAGATCCATTCCAGCATAAATCTCCTGGTAGTTTCGACGCCCCGAGTGTCAGATCCCCAATGCTCAAGTCCGTAATTCGCGTATTTCTTGAGAATATCGAATCTCTCTGCACTCGATATGTCGATCAACTTTTTCTCTTTTATCTCGGTAAAAATCCAAGGCTTGATTAGCGCTCCGCGTCCAATGGTGATGCCCTGCACCGTATTATAGATTTCTTTCACGCGACAATAGTCATCAAAGGACAAGATATCGCCGTTTCCAAACACGGGAATCGGCTGCGCTGCCATCGCACATTTTTCTATGTATTCCCAATCGGCCAGTTTCGTATATCTCTGCTCACGCGATCTGCCGTGAACCTGAAAGAATCATCAAATTGATTATGAGCCTTAGGAAATAATACAAAAAGATCATATTTCTCTAACGCAGGATGTTTATTAAAATCTTGTAAAAAAAAGATTCTTGAGAATTTCTTCATTTTTGTTCAAAATTCCAAATAGGATCAGAGAATTTTTTAATACAATTTTAAAATAAATTGGAGTGTTAACGCAAACAAACTGTACAGTGTAAATCAGCAAAAGACAGGGATTTCATAAGATTGTTTTTATCATCTTTTACAATTATAAAGTCGCGTTCTATAAAATTTATAGTGTAAGAAAGAATCACTATAATATAATATCAGTGATCTACTCTTTGGTACTGAATAGTTTTCTATTGAGTCTTTGATGTTTTTATATAAAAATTTGTGGGACATGAAAATATACGTGAATACACGCGGACCGTATATTGTTATCCTTGTCAACATTTTGTAAGAAAAAAAAAAAATAAGAGAAATAATGTTTTCGGAAAAAGAGAATTTAAATATAAAAATAAAGTTTCAAATTTTTCCTTAAAAGTATCGATAAAATTCTATGAAAATTCATTTTCAAATAAAAAAGGAATCGTCTGAAAAATTTAGTTTTTTCTAAGTAGTAAACTAAGATCTCTTTACTTTTCCGAGAATAATTCCTTTTTTAAAAATATTTTTATGATTAAAATATAATATGAATTTTTTCCATTATAATCCTGATTTTTCATAGTAAGTTCTTTGCAATGTTTTAAGATGTTTATTTAGGATTGGAAAAATCCGAGGTTTTTTTTTTTTTAGAACGCTCATGTTTTATTAGATCTTTTTTGATAAAATTGATTATTTGATATTTTTTGATGTAATATTTAGTTTATATTGTATTTATTTTATTTAATTACATGTTCAAATAAAATTAATTATAAAAGAATTTTTATAAAAGAGATATTTGAAATTTATATATAAATATTATTAGACATCAATATTTAGATTTTATTTGTTTTTATTTATTTAATTTATTTATATAGTGATCTAAAATATATCTTTTGAAGATTTTTTCCTTTCTCTTAATAAATTTCATTCATTGCAAATATCGCAATGTCTTTTAAAAGAGACCGATTCATATAACAAGAAACATAAATTTTACGGACTTACTCACGGTAATCATGGATACACCCCAGTCTCGAAACCTCGGCATTAGATTATGCGCGATCGGTTTATCTATGTAGACTCCAGTTCTGGTCTTAATAGATAAAGGTATGTTCAACACTTGGCTAACAGATTTTACCACGGTCTCAAGTACGTTTAATCGATTGAGCATACCGCTGCCGCCTCCCTGTCTGTAGATTAGATCAATCGGACACCCAAGATTCAAATCGATGTAGTCCACATCGATTTCATGGTTCAGCAACTGTGCACATCGTGCCAGCACTCCCGGATTGTTGCCACAGAGCTGCACGCCGAAAATATCCTCGCTCTCGTGTCGCTTCACCAGCGCCCATTCTTCCTGCGCGCCTTTCAGTATCTTTGGCGCCAATGCCATCTCGCCACAGGTGATGTCTGCACCATACTCCTTGCAAATCCTTCGAAACGGCAAATTGCCTACTGTAGTCAGAGGACTGAGTAGTATCTTGCCGTTCCAATCGATAGTCTTTTTCTCTGATTGTCGCAATCTGATCAAATCGCTGTCGTCCACGGGTCCGATTTTCAATTCCTTCGACTTACACATGATATCGCTATTAGAAGCATCTGTTTCCGTTTTCTCATCATTCACGTCATGGGAAATATGTTTCTCCACTTTCTCGCCGTTGCCATTGTCAGAAATATTAATCGTGACATCTGATTTTGTATCATTTTTTTTATTATTCAAACTCTGCTGCATCTTCTTCATAGATGGACCGTTAGCTTTGACAATTGCCTCCGCCCTGGAGAAATTATACCTGCGTTTACGCAATTTGTTTTGTAAGTCCTTGGATAAGTGATTTTTGATAGCCGGTGGACACTTGCTGTACTCCTCGAGTTTCTTTTCGTCGATAATGTTAAAGCCATCCTCGGTCAAGTGTCTTGAGCCCATTCTACAAGTGGTTCCTCTTGGGCACTTGCCAGTCAAATTAAATATATAACATTGTGTACCTATGTCTTCTGGTCTGATCTTTAGGTACTCCTTTCGATCATGCAAGAAAGTACAGCGCTGATTCGAGCATTTTCTCTCTGGTTCATTTGCAGTTTGATCCGCGATCCACGGACATAAACTCAATTCCCTGGAAGCTTTGAATGGAGGTGGCCTTGCTTTATTTTGTCCTCTAAGCTTCTCTCTCTTGTCTTCCAATTTGGGTTTCTTAGCAGGTACTTCGTCCAATGATGCATCTGTATTTTCTACGCCTGCATCCGTAGATACTTTCTGCTTATTGATCTCTGTCAAGCACTGACCACTTAATTGTCTTATATGGTCCTCGATAATAAATCTACAATGTCAGATACATATATTAGTTACAAGATAATAAAATGATATTTAATAAATAACAAATATTACATAATTGTTTTTTAAATACATTAGTGCTTGTCTGCAAAAATTTATTGTATATATATAAATAGTCATATATTTAATACATAGAATCTCATTTGAATTTTGAAGATGAAATAATTAAAAGAGAAAGAAATGCACAAAGACATTGAAAAGATAGCAAGTTAAGGATAGCTAGATATAATGAAAGGTACAAGCAGTTCGACATAGAAAATAGAAACCTAAAATGTTCAAGGAAAAAAATTTAAATAAGGTAGAAATAAGAGAGTCTTAGAGGGTTAGTGAAATGCCTGGTCCATAACCTTGCTTTAATCATTAGGCTTTAAGCATTAAGTAAGCTTTTTAAATTTGCAAAAGTAATCGATTACAGCATTAAGAAATGGGCATTCCACATTTCCTTACAGTTTATGTTTTACGGATTAAAGTAAGTTTAAGGATGGATATGACATCACCTAGCACTTAAGTTTATGTCCACTTAAAGCAAGGTTGTGGACCAGGCCATACTAGCTAAATGAGGAAAGAGATATTTTGTGGAGTAGGTATAGATTGTATGGAACATTAATTATATTGATGATTATCAGAAAATAAGCAGGTAGTTCAGGATATTAGGTAGGAACAGAAAGAAAATATGGACTAAACTTTGGAATATGAGGAAATTGGGCTCAGAAAAAAGAATACAGAATCAGAGAAAACTACAGATAGAGCTGGGCATACATTTGAAATACTTTTATTTAAAATAGTTTTGGCAATACAAAATATATACTTATGTAAAAGTATTACACATTTTGTACATAAAATAAAAAAATTATAAATTTTTTGTATTTTGTAATTCAAATAATAACATTAATTGTTAATCTTAGTTTTCAAAATATAAAATATAAAATACTTTTAATCCTTTTTTTTTTTCGTTGTTAATACTGAAATATAAAATACAAAGTACTTTTACATGTTTAGTATATGAAATAGAAAATATAGAATATTTGCATGTGCTCCGTTGAAATGCATAATACAAAACATAATGATCTCACAAATACTGTTTCTTAAATAAAAATATTTCAAATACATGTCCAGTTCTGACTACAGAGAAAGTTGACACAAATTGATGAAATTAGGTAGCATCAAATTAAGGTAGCAATAATAGAATGCATCTGTGATTGTGTTCCATGATATTTTTGTGATTTGTAAGGATAAGAAATCTTTCTGAATAGGTCATTAAATAGATATAAGAATTTATTATATGAAAAATAAGAAATATATAGTAGCGATAGAATAATAATAAGGATGAATAAGTTAAGTTTATATTCGTAAACCAAATTTCTTCTTCGCAATGTAAGCTGAAGTAATCAAATATATTCTATATTCTAAATAAAATTTGATGTATTATATATTATGATGATAAAATATTAATTTTTAAATAAAAATTAAGAAAGAACAAGTTCTTCAATATCTTACAATAAATAATTACATTTATCAATGTAAATAAAAAATTTAAATTAAGAGACAAAAATAGACGATTGATAATCTGTTTCTACAAATCTATAAAGGAATTTAGAGGTTAGAAACGAATACGTGTATTCGCAAATATATTTGTATAAAATTCATTCCCTATATTAACGTGAGTCATCCGGGAAGTCTACTTACTCTTCTTTTATTAGGCAAACACCCTTTTGCCTGTCTTCGCCATAATCGAATGAACAGTCTGAACATTTCTCGTTGTAATTTGCCATTTCTTTACACGTGTATGTACGCTCAAATCTCAATGCCGATGACTGGACCACGATCAAACTGGGCAACTGACTCTGTCAGTCAATCTATTCATTAATTTTTTAAAAGTTAAAAATTCATGGTTTAAATCTTATGATCTAAAACTCAATGATTTCTTAAAATCACATTTCTTGAAATAGATATCATCATGTCGAAATTATATTCTCTTGACATTTTATAAATTGAAAATTCGAATTATTATATACCTACTGCGTGAACTGAAGAGAGAGAGAGAGAGAGAGAGAGAGAGTACAGTACGACGTAGTATAACTTACAAGACAATATGATATCGGCAATTACGACATTGATATTATCATCGATCGATGATTTATCGACGTTGATAAATCAACGATAAAAAATAAGCAAAATTCTGGTTGCTCCTTACAGAGTTATATAAGAGTCTAACAAATTTAGGAAGAAGTCCGATGAAGCAACAAAAGCACGATTTGAAATAACGGGGGGAGGGAGGGGGGCCAATTCTTCACAATTCTGCATTTTGAAATGGTTATAACTCTTCTATACTGTTCATTTCAGCACCTTGATCTATATAAGACAATCGATAGAACTCTTTGGGGAGTTACCAGACCTCTCAAAAAAATAATGGATTTTCGAAAAAAATTGTTGACCTCTGTGGAATTAAAAAAAAATTCGAAGTTTGAAATTTCAAAGTAGTAGAATTTTCCAAATATTGATTTATTAGAGATAATAGTTAGAATTCTTTGGGAGCTAAGTACTGGAACTCTTGTGTCAGAATGTCGACAGATTTCCGAACAAAAATTTTTTTTAATAAAAAATATTTTTATAAAATAAAAATTTCGGAAATCCATCATATTTTTTTAGGCTAATTCTACAATGTGCTTTTTGTTTCCTGTTTCTTGTTGTTTGTCTCTTGCCTTCTTGATCAAAAAACCAAGAGACAAACAGAGATATAAACAGCAAGAAACAGAAAACAAAAAACACATTGTAGAATTAGCCTTTTAGAGTTCTGATAGCCCCTAAAGAGTTCTATCGATTGTCCTATATAGATATTAAAGGGTGCTAAAATGAACGGGAGGGGGGAGGGGTATAGAAAAGTTATAAATTGGTTATAACCCAGTTGCAAAATCGTGAAATTGGCCCCTAAGTATTATTTTAAATAGTGTTAAAAAATTTTTTGGCACAATATGTAAAATATTATATATATAGCAATGCAAAACTGAGGCGTCGGAGTTTTGCTCTTTTTCTATAGTGTACGTGACATATGCTATAATATAAGAGCATTCCGACGCCTCAGATTTGCTATTACTGAACGCATATATCCAGTTGTTGTGGTTCTATTCCATACTATTACTTGGATTAGATACTGGCAGAGAACCACAAAAACGTGAACATTATCCTATGGGTTTGGTATCATGCATACACAATAAAGCCCGAGATGTCTACCCACTCTCAGGTTTCTTAAAAAGTTTTCTTTCTAGACTCTTTGGTATTACGTACTTTATTTTTCAATCTTCCGAACTATTCACAGTTGCTGTGATTTCTGTTTTATATTATTGATTCTGTTTTATATTTTACAAAAGTTTCATTGAAAAAGTAATTTATGAGCAATTGGGTGCGGACTGGTGCGAATTAAAAATTATAGCCGTATCCCTGAAAAGGATTGGGTTGGGTGCAGACCGTATACGAAGCCGCAGAAGTTAACTCGATCAAAATCTTGGTAGATAGTAAAGTATTGAGTTTAAATTAAGTTAAACATTTATTTTAATATATTTTGATTGCTAAGTGTTGAATAAACAATAAAATCGATATTTTTCAATTTTCAGATTTTAGGTTTTTGTTATTGAATCCTTTTTATTTTGCACAGCTGATTACTGGCACATTTGACTTTGAGGTTATACTTGTGATGTTACTTATTTTTGCAAGAGATCTATTTTTTATTTCTATACTAAACTGTACTGATACTTTCTTTTTCGTTAGATATTAAATATACACTTATCTCATTTTAAGTTCCAAAAATGTACATTAGTTCAGCCACGAAAAACAGAGAGACCCAAGAATAAACATTTTATTTTTAAATAATTATTCTTTTAGTTTGCACTAGAGGTACGTTCCGTATCGCGCATGATGCATCCATTGTCCTTGTTTAACATTTGGTGAGAAACAAGGATAAACGATACATTATGCGCATCATGCAAGAAATGGAACGCACTTTAAGTAATATGTTTATTTTAATATTATGGTGATTGGTAAGCGACGAATGAGTAATAAAAAATAGTTTTATGATTTGTTATTCCTTTTCATTTTATGCAGTTATTTATTGTGTGTTAGATTTGATGCCATATTTATATATATTTGATTAATTGAGGAATAATTCACCATTATTTTGATATTTTTATGAGATGGAACATTTTATTGTCTTGCAACATAATATGACATTTGTAATAATTTGTATTATGTATTTTAGGAAACTGTATTACATTGTACATTATTCATAATGAATAATGTAACAGATAGTTCTTCAGATGAAGATGATCCATATACAAATTCTGTTGCTCGATTAAGAGGTAACACTTTCTCTATTTGTAACATTTATATTAATTTGTTATGGGAACATATGGGTCCGAATGATTCAGAGACTTTTCCTAATAATATGGCACAAAAGTTGCAATAATATTGCTGCAATATTCTTGTACTATTTAACATTGCAATAGTGTAGCTATGTTGCTGCAAGCAACTGTTCTATACAGGAATTTTTAAATAGTAATGATTTGGAATAATTTTATATGTATGTGTATTATAATCTTATTTTTTAGTTCTAAGCTTGACAAATTCTAAAAGAAATAAAACTAATGACAAAAAACTTTGTTGGGTCACAATTAAGAAACCTATATGTTCTTTTAATTAAAAAATATGTGTTCTGTTATTGGTTATGAAAATCAAGTATATAGAAATAAAAGCAAATCTGCCATGTATTTGATATTTAGAATTAATCTTTAATATAATATTTTGTTTTTAGCATTGAAACAGCATCGCTTTCAAAGAGTGGAACTTTCTCTTAAGGAGAGGTACTTATTATATAAATTATGATTACTTTAAAATATTGTATTAATTACAGAATACTGATATTTTTATATTACATAAATAATATTTATAATTATTAAAAGTAATAAATACATAAATAGTTTAAAATTAAATACAATGAGGGAACATGAAAGCTAAAGAAGATTTAAATGCTGGATAATATTTATAAAAAGTAACTATTGATCATATAAATATACAAACAGCTTTGGTTTCAGCTTTGGTCATTTAAGTGTGTTAATTGTTAAATAGTAAAATTGAAATAGTTAAAATATTTGTAATTAATGAAAAAGTAATATTTAAATCTTTATTTAAAAAACATTTTATGATAAAAAATTTATTCAGAGCTGAGAATCTGTTTTCTTTGAATAAAGTATTAACTCTACAAGTTATTTTTTAAATAGAAATTTAAATATAATTGTTTCATATATTAATTGGCATTTTGAATATTTAACACAACTTTTTATTTTGTAATTGAATTAAGTTAAGTGGATACTGAATAATGTTTATAAAAATAACTATCATTTGTACAAATATGCAAACGTTTCAACTTTGCCTTGAATCAGATGATTCAATCTAATACAATATTTTCTTTTATAAATATCATTCAACATTCAGATTCTACTTGGTTTCCATGTCCCTTTGTTTATCATATTGTATAATATTTTATTTATTTCATTTTCAGCATTACGCAGAAAACAAAATGTGAAAATATGAACGGTAATGATCATGGTAAAAACATAAAGGATGAAATAAATAATGAAATAAATAATGAAATAAATAATGAAAATGTATATGATGATGAAATAAATATCGATGGAATACAAACGCGAAGCAGGACGGTAAGAGGTAGAAGGATTACAAAAATTATTACTAGAGCTGTCGATAGGCGAACTAGGCAAAGGGTAATTTTTTTTATATTTTTTTAAATGTGCGCATGCACACACACACACACACACACACACACACACACACACACACACACACACACACACACACACACACAAATGTACATACATATATACAAAGATTTATAGAATGTGCCGAATTGTTTGACATAGCGGTCGCAATTAAAACAGTCTAAATTCGGTCAAAAGATCCTATACAATTTTTGCAACAGTTAACGAGATATTCATTTCTAAAGATTAATTACGTTAAATAAGCGCGCATCCAAACCTATTATCAAATGCATGCCAATTGATTATGATCTAGGTGAAAAAATCGTTTACTATATACAAATGGCAATAGTTACACACGGTGAAAGAAAATAACTCGTGCTGACAATGAGCGAACTTTAGAAATTATTATAAAAATTAAACTATTATGAAAATTGCAAAATAGTAGAGGACTTTTCGAGTTTAGTTCGCTCTATCTACACATGAGTATTATCTCAAATTCTGAAGTATCCTGCGTATATATAATTTGTAGAATACGCGTCGATGTTTAATTCAAGAGAATATATAATTTTTATAATGTTTCAGCGTTTGCCTGTTGATCTAGAATACGATGTGGAAATCATAGACACAGAAAAGCAGTCTGAATCTTGCAATGATATAGTTACACTTTCAGATGATGATACTTACATCGAAGATGACAATTATGAAATAGATGTAAAAATATATTGGCGATCAAATAGAATTGATCGTTTAAATATGCGTAGAGTATGCATCTCAATTATGTTAATTAGTAACATGTGGCAAATCGTAATTTTGTACAATTATTTTTATCATTTATTTATACAATAATACATATTTATGATAACTTTCTGTTGTTTTATAGCATGATAATTTCAAAGGTATTTTTGAGCATTATGCCAATTTAGAAGGAGTTTCCGTAAATGAAGTCCTAATCATGAAAAAGGATAAAATTGTCCACCATACCGATACCCCTGCATCGCTCGAAATTTCCATTATAGATATACTCGGTTCGTATACAAATTAGTCATTAATCTTAATATAATAATGCAATGTTTACTTTATATGTTTACTTGCAGATGGTGGGATAGTGAATCCAGGTATGAACACACTATCCAAGGATAAGGAGGAGAACAATGATGAGGACATATGTACTATTAAAGTACAAACTGCGAACAAAAAACAGTCCTTGATTATTCCACTTAAGAAAGATGAACCATTTAAGATGCTATTCGCTAATTGTTCTGAGCAACTTGGTGTGAAGGAGAATAATTTGAAACTTTACTTTGATGGAGAACAGATAAATCCATCAGACACTCCAGAGTCCTTAGATCTCGAAACAGAAGCATGTATCGATCTTCACATATCTGCGTAATGTATAATAAAAAGGTAGCTTAAATTTTTTTAATACATTTTTACATTGTTTTCATCTTATATTGTAAGCGTAATAACTATTTATTGTATTACACTATGCATCCTTGTATATTAAGGTGCAGCCACAACAGAAAAAATAAGGAATTAACAATGAAGAATAACAAATAACAAGTTTCAAGCTATCAGAAATTGGATATACTGGAATGAATGGTTTATCTGATAGGTTGAAATTTCTTATTTCTTTTATTGTAGCTGCATTCTACTATATGTTTAAAACCGCGTGTAAATTATTATCATGTCGATAACTATATATGCCTGTCATTTATAATTTAATGTAAAAAGGGTGACTGATTAATTCTTAAAGAGGCCTTACTAGTGTAAGCTATTTACTAATATAAATAGTTATTTGCAGAAGTGTATACATTCTTAAAAAAACAAGTATAAGTAATAAATAGATACAAGCAATAAATATGTAAATCAATTTTTAAAATAAAATGGCATTTCTAGTAGATAATATTTATTACTAAGATTTTATTTTTAATTATTAGTATTATAAGAATATATTAAATCAAAATTGTGTTTTTCACATATAAAGTCCTATAAGATTTAATATTTAAATATAGTATATTGTTGGTTTTGCATTTTGGATTACGTTTACTGATATAATGTTGTACGCTATGATATTAGATTTGTGGAATAAAATTTTTCAAAAGATATTTTTACAACAACAACGAATCATATATTTATTGTGATACATTATTATATTATACATAATGTACATAACATACTGATATATGCTTTATAAGTGTACAAATATATCGTATACATATAAAGCGCATTCAATACTTCTGTTTATTACGATTCTGCACAATATATTGACTGTACTACATTCAATTACAATTGCTATTCTTTTTAACACAAGCAGTCAAGAACATTAATTGTTAATTATATATTTCATCCGCGTTAACATTCCTATCCTGAGAAAGTACACCGTCTTATTTGTAAACATCAATTTAACAGAAATTTGTTATTGATATTCAATATATTACGAAGTAATTGCTATACATTTTATGTTCATGATTATCGTCTGTCAGAAGGATAGGAATAAAGTAAAATGAGTACTTGTGACGAGTACTGTACAATTTGTTTGCAACTCATTCAACGACAAGTATTGCACGGCAATTAATCAGATACTTTCATTGAAAATATTAGGCATGAGTCTCGACAGAAAGCGTGTCATATGCTAATTTTATTCTATATAATACATGATAATGCGATAAAGTAATTTGTTGTTAAAAGGAATGTTTTGGAGAGTCAATCAATTGTCGAGAAAAACTAGCTTAATCATTAAATTTGCGATTGAAATTGTGTCCAAACAGGGCGGAACGGATCTCAGGTATCAATTGTTGTGCTATTAGCTCTAATCTGGTCTCCAAAGTATTGCTAATCTTTATGCGCCCTGTGGAACAAAAAGTTATTTTGTATACAATATTAATTCGGTAATTAATATAATTACTTTGTTAAAATCAAAATTATAATTCAAGTCATTTTTAAACTTACATGATACATTATAGTGATTATATATATTTCTTATTATTTTCGCGAAACGATAATTAATAATTCTAAAGTACAACAAAATATATTTCGATGTTATAATTACCTTTGGATGCTAATAATTCCACACCTCCGCAACTTTCTGTGGGCAAGAAATTATCAGAATCGATCTTCAAAACAACATCTTTCTTAGTTTTCTGCTTATATTGCTGTTGAACATTGTCAATAAGGGATTCTACGAGCGGCAGATCGACTTGACGAACACGAAGAGTAATATTTGTCTCTGTTAGCTGTAAAAATATTAATTATGTTATAGAAATATTTATAAGATTAAAAAAAGTAATAAACAATGTTAATACATGATAATATCAAAATAATTAAAATAATAAATTACTTGATAAAGTCCTTGGATTATCAAAAGCTGAAGAATTTCTCTATACTGTGCGGGATTACGAGTTATTTCACCTAATCTCTTTCTAGCTTCTTCAAGAACGTTGCGTACATGATCTTCACGTACTTTTAAAGCCTTCAACCGTGCCTGGTTAAGCATGTTCGAAGATTGTCTACAATTAATAAAATCATAAAATAAAATGCAATTGCATATTAGATATTTTTATAAAATAAATAAAATTAATTTTTATAAACAGATCTTAAAGTCTGTTTTATCAATTCTGTAAGATTTACACACATGATTTACGTGTATTGATACACATACACATTACTATGTACTCTTACATCAATAATGCACATACATGTACAAATTTTCTAACTAATCTTTCATATTAGGTATCTAAATCTAATTCTAAGAACTCAACATTGTTTGTTCATGTAATCTCTAGTTCAAACCAAAGTAATTTTATATATACAAAATATAAAAGTTATATATATAAAGCAAATATATTATTATAAATTAGCACCAGAGTATCAATCAGGTAACTTTTTTTTAAAGTAAGAAATATGAAAAATAAAAATGTTTATGTAAATATGTATGTACATATATATACATACATATATATATATATATATATATATATATATATATAAAATGCTTATTTGTCATGAACTTGTCACATTTCTACCATAGGGCAAAAGTTACATGACTCTCAGAAGCTGACAAAATTATAATTTTTAATATTTTTTTGCGTTTTTTTGTATTAAATCAATCAGTTGGGACTAAATTACTGTTTATATTTTAATTATAAAGAAAGGTGAAAGGATTTTAAATCTGTAAAGGCAGTTAGAAAAATTATCATTTGTGAAAGAAAATCGATAAAACATAGATGACTTTAAAGGATCCTCTTAAATTATAAGATTATTATAATTTTTAAAACTGATTCTATAATGAGTTGATAGTCAAAAATCTTAAGTCTTAACTAATTTTAACCTGAATAGGTGACTATGATTTTTCATATTTACATATAAGTTAATTGTACAGTGAGTCGTTTAGCTGAATTAATAGAAAGGAATAAAGTTGGATTTGATCAATCTTAAGAAAATCAATTGTCTTAGTATAAGTTGACTGTGTGTATTAACTAACTTCATCAATTTATTGATAAGATTTAGAAGTACCAATAGAATTAGCATAATAGTTTATACAGCACGCACGCACACACATATACACTTACATACATATATGTATATATATACATGTGTATATATATATACACGTATATATGTATGTGTATATATATATATACACGTAATAAAATAAAACTAAGCGTATAATATTATACACATACTAAAACAATATATACATATGTAGTGTGTATGCGTATGCATGCATGCGTGTGTATGTGTGTGTGTGTGTGTATGTGCGTGCGCGTGTGTGTGTGTGTGTGTAATAAAATATATGTATATAAAGAAAATAAAATAATTTTTTAAACATACATCTTTTTTTGCAGTTCAACTTGTTTCTCTTTTTTCTCATAATACTCCATAATCTTGAGACGCTGTTGTTGCACCAGGCGTCCCTTCTCAATATTAAATTCTTCTTCTGCCTTGGCATCTATTTCCTCTGCCTTTTCATTGGCCTCTTGTTCTATGAAGGCCATCATATGTTTGATCTATAATCATACCATCTTTTCTTTAGAAAAGCTTCTTATAGTAATAAAAAATAATAACCAACTATTTAAATATTAATACCATTAAAAATAATATTTCTTTTCTTTCCACGAAGTTTCATAAAAATGTATGTTCTTTAAATCAATGTCTTAGCAAAGAGCTTCAATAATTATTAAATTTGTAAATGTTTAGTTCACAGACAGTAAGATGTAAAGATATTGAAATGACTAAAGAATTTTTTGACGAGATATCAGCTATTCAAGTTTGGTAAACCATCATTTATTTAATCGATTTTACTCTCGCCCTGTTACTTTTTTACTTCGGTTCCAGGTACATAATAAGAATCACGATTTCGAACAGCTATGAAAACAAAATCCAAGATACTTGGAAAAATATATCCCTCTTAAAAAAGGCACCTGACGGAGGTAGAAGAATTATGTTTTAGCGTAACTATAAATATATTCGATGAGATATTAATAGCGCAACAGTATAATACTGAGTTCGAAGGAGGTGAGTTCGGGAAAAGGACGGAATGTTTCATGGAAGGATGCGACATAGGAGATTTTAAACCTCACCTGCTTCTGAACGTCCGCGTCACTGAGAGCCATGATGTCGTCCGGATAATTTTCTTTCTTAAAGATATTTGGTGGGCTTGTAAGGACTCGAGATCACGAGACTCGATGAAGATGAGTCGTTCAGTCAACGCCTACAACAGCACATCCAACACTCGGCGTAACGTCGGTCATATGACCTGAAGTGTGACCAGAGGCGCGTTCCAAAACGCATGCAACAACGACAGCTAGATCAAATCATGGTGGAAGGATGTTTCTCAAATGTTCTTCTTTGACTGTGTGGCGTTGCAGGCGTTAGCTGCAGCGTTCAATTCTCTTCTTTTTCAGTTTCCTCTCTAGAATTGTTTAAAATATACTCGCTTATTCGTTAAGTAGAAATTTAGAAAGATAGAAGCAACAGAAGTGTCCAGTCTCCAGTGCCAGAGTGCAGTCGTTCTGTGAGTGCAGTCCAGTGTATTGTGTATGTCATGCATATCTTTTATAAAACACGGCGATAAATTGTAAGTAGTGCTTTGTAAGATGTATTATTTTCCCTTTTTAAGTTACGACGCGAGATCTTAATTGTTCATGTCGTTAGACAATTATCTTGCCATTAATTTCTAAGTTCTCTATGTCATAGCCAGTCTTGCGATACCGTTATTATTAATGTCACACGAGTTAGCATATTTATTTGAGTTAGTAATAAATTATCTTTAAACTTGAGTCAGATTCAGTGATTAACCTTTCACTGCCTATACTAAGTATTTTCCCGCCTTTCCATTTTGCCTTCAGTGAATTATCGTTGGTGTAGTACCTAACACGGTGTAGTGTTGGGCAACGAGACACGTTAGCTCCCACAGCTGCAAGCGGGTTGGAAATCGTATCACTGCTCTGAGATTTGTGACCATGGCGGATCCGTTGAGTCTGCTGCGGCAATATAATGTTAACAAGAAGGAAATAATCGAACGAGAGAATCAAATCATATTCGGCGAGTTCTCCTGGCCCAAAAATGTCAAGACCAATTATCTGACTTATGGGTGAGTGTACAGCAAGACAGCTTCTTGGAACTACTTCGCGCGATTGCAATCTATACTTGACTGCCAAGCTTTAAAGCGAGAGTAGGAGAGTCGGGGGAAAGAAGAAAAATACGCTGTACAAGGCATGAAAGTCTGATAACAACAGTTAAACAAACTCATGACAGATGTAATTAAACTTTTTTGCCAAGTCAGTGAAAGCTGGAGACTGTGTTAGAAATTGTGTTCACCATGTGTCTTGTGTTACGTGATTTTTCTCTCTAAAACATTTTTTAATTTTCTTTAGAGACTCCAAACTTTCTATACTTTTTCAATTTTTTGTATATTTTTCAAAATTTCTCTCTCTACTGATTGTGATCTTTATTATTGATTCTTAACCTTCTGGATTTGACGTCAGAATTTATAATTCCAGGTGCTTTTTAGAACATTATCATATACACTATGTGACACATAGCTTTGAATTGTAGCTGAAGCATATTGCTTAGTTTTTTTATTTTACCACTAGAGTGAAATAAAAAAAGATTTTATACATTCATGTTTGAAATTCAGACATATTTGGAATCTGATTATATCACCGAATATAATCTTAATCTTTTTCTGGAGTAACATTTTTGAAAAAATAAATAATAAAATGTAAAAATTTGTTATTTATGAAGTGATATAAGACAATGATATAGTCAAACACAGCATTTTAGCTGTGTAAGAGTTTTACAATTCATGGTTAACTCTTAACCTTACTTTTAACTTACTCCTTACCTTTTTATAATTCTAGAATTGGAAAGAGATGAGAAATAAGTTGAACCTTGATTAAGAGTTAACCGTGAGTTGTGAAACGGGATTTAAGGAGATATAAAAATTATATGATACTAATAATTATAGTGTCTTATATTTTCAACAAAAAATGTAAAACTTTTTTGAAATCAAGCTTTTAAAGTAAAATGAAAAAGACTTCTAACAAGATTGGAAATATGTTTGATTCGAATGTGTGTGTGTGTGTGTGTGTGTGTGTGTGTGTGTGTGTGTGTGTGTGTGTGTGTGTGTGTGTGTGTGTGTGTGTGTGTGTGTGTGTGTGTGTGTGTTTCTCAATTATTTTTCTTCTACATGCAAACCTATAAGATTACGTTTGCTCTTAAATTAAAAAAGTAGTATGAGTTTGTTATTTTCTTACCTTTGTTTTTTCAGTTGAATTTTAAATCAAACTATATATATTGTGATATTTTAATTTTAAAATTAAACGCATTTATATGACAATTTATACTGAAAGCAAGTATAGTCGTGATTATAAGTATAAAAGTAATCTCAGATTTATTGCATTTTCTCTTGAAAAAATGGAAAAAAGTAATAAAATCCGAAAAAAATTAACAGTATATTAAAATTATGGCAATAAATGTTTAATTTATTTTTTATTAGATATACACAGACATTTACATCGATTTGTAGGGTGCTTATGTGACCAAGACTGCACTTATTATATATTTTTTTTATAAAAAGATATATAAATATTGATAAAATATTTATAATAAAAGCGTCTTATACTACAAAATGAAGAAAAATCTCTGTGAGAAGGATATTTATATTTTTTCTGTTTTCCAGATCCGGAAAAGAAGGAACACCTAAGGAATACTATACACTCGAGTGTCTTTTATTTCTGCTCAAACATGTTCAACTTACACATCCAGTCTATGTGCGACAAGCAGCTGCGGAGAATATTCCGGTGGTGCGTCGACCCGACAGAAAAGATTTGCTGGCCTACCTCAATGGTGAAACTGCCACGTCAGCCGCCATAGACAAGTCGGCGCCGTTGGAGATCCCAACACAGGTGAAACGTGCCACCGAGGATGGCTTGGAAAGTGGCTCGTCAAAAAAACCCCGTTTTGAGGAGACTCACGTACAGAAAGTAAAGGAGCAACTAGCTGCACGTTTAGATGCTCCTAAGGAAGCTTCAGTTACCGTTGACAATATCAAATCTCTCTCGGAGGCAATGTCAGTGGAAAAAATTGCTGCAATCAAGGCGAAACGTTTGGCAAAGAAACGCACTACTATCAAGGAGAACGACGACATCATCGGATCGGATTTACGTGTAATTCTTGATATGGATGTAGACGATACAAAAGATATCGTATCCCGCGAGCGTCAATGGCGAACACGCGCCACTATCTTGCAGAGTAGCGGCAAGATCTTCGCAAAGAACATCTTTGCGATTCTGCAAAGCATTAAGGCACGTGAAGAAGGAAGGCAGAAGGGCCCGATCGTGCCTACACCCATGGTGACACCGCGCTCGACACCCATGAGACCCCTGCCACAACCAGCCGTCTACAATCGTTACGATCAGGAACGTTTCATTCGGCAGAAGGAAGAAACGGAAGGCTTTAAGATCGACACCATGGGAACTTACCACGGCATGACTCTAAAGTCCGTAACTGAGGGTACAAATCCCGCCGTGAGGAAACCCTCGACCAATCCGTCCGCTACGCCAACCTCCGGTTTACTGCCAACATCTGCCGCTAAACTAACGCCTCAGCAAGCTGCACAGAACAAGCGACCCAGTCGAACGCCCATTATCATCATTCCTAGCGCCAACACATCTCTCATTACTATGTACAACGCTAAGGACATCCTCCAAGACTTGAAGTACATTAATAACGACGACAAACGGTCACAGGGTTGCAAGCGAGAGAATGAAGTGCTTCTTCAACGGCGGAAGGACGGTGGTCTAACCGTACCTTATCGGGTAGTCGATAATCCACAAAAACTCACTAACGCCGATTGGGAGAGAGTCGTTGCTGTGTTTGTCATGGGACCAGCTTGGCAATTCAAAGGTTGGCCTTTCGATGGCAACCCAGTGGAAATATTTTCAAAAAGTATGAAAAAATCTCTTTGTAATGAAAATACGAATACACATGTATGATTATTTTTGCATTTTTATACTATCTTTTAGATTTTTCTCAGTTTATGGAATAACGTATCATAATTGAGTTAGTCGTTTTTTTTATTACATTGCGAGGAATATACATCAATATTATTGTAAATTACAATATTATTGTAAATTTCACAGAAAGACGAAATATAACTCGGTCATATATTTCATTTGTATCTATGACTTGGTATCGTATTTCGAATGTATAAGCAAAAAATTGTTCCTTCTTCCACAGTATGTGCATTTCACTTGAAATACGATGAAATGAGACTGGACACAAACGTAGCGCGATGGGCTGTCACAGTAATTGAATTGAGTCGGACAAAGAGGCATTTGGATAGAGCAGCGTTAATGATATTTTGGGAATATCTCGATAAGTGAGTATCTTATTAATTTAATTTATTATCACATACACGTACGTATATCTTTCTAATATAACAATTTTATTTCTGAAATTAAATTGATAATTACTTTTTCAAGTCATGTCTAAATTCTAAGCAGAATCGTAAGACTCGTAACTAGTTCTCGTAAAACTTGTAATGTAAGAACTTATGACTAGTATTCTAATTTTATACGTATACATAACATAGACATAACATTTTGACACAAACGTAAATGAAAAAAATATTACATTTTTTCAATAAATAACTAAATGTAATATTTTGTAACATAGTATATAAGTTTTTTATTAATAGAATAATAAAAATGCTTTGAAATAATAAAAATTCTATTCTATCTAAAAAAAACTCTAGGATTTTTCTCTTTTTGCATTTTTAGTTCCAAAATCTTTTCTCCAGTTCTTCAAAAGTAGTCAAGTGCACATTGTAATTTTAATAAATAGAAATTGTATTTTCATGTCATATTATACTTATATATTTTGTTGATTAAACCAATGTTATTCTTAATTTTTCAAAAGAAAGATTTTATTAAATAAGAAAAATTATGCAAGTTTTTTTGCTCTCACTAAAAACATTTCATACAAGTATGTCTGGAGATAATTTCTTATCAAATAGACTCATATATATTTTTTAACTGATATTACATTGATCATTATTACGTCAGTATGTCTAATAACAATAAATTCTATTTTTACAGACATATGATCAAGAACAAGCCGCACCTTCGTTTCTGAAATTCTAAATCAATTCAGATTACAGAAATGGCAATATATTGATCCCTGCGTCTCATACTCCCATCGATTGGAATTTTTACCAGAAATAAAAAGGGCAATGAGGCTCTTAGCCGATGGTATTGTGACGCTGATTATTCGCGTATAAAGGTACCCGCGAATAATAATAAGCAATGTGATGTGTGACAACTGAATCGTTGTCATATTATGTTAGCGTTTACATTTTATTGTTGCTTGCACGAATAAAATACTAAAAAAATTGCAACGAATTATGGGCCGGTCTCACTAATTCTGATTAACCTAATTGATCGATTAAATGTCAACTGTGATTAATCAATACTACTGAACAACAAATATGATTGATCAGTTTCAATGTAACAATCATGCAGTAGATTAAGTTAATCAGAGTTAATGAGATCATCGGCCTTATGCTTTTTTCAATTAAAAAATTAGAGCGGCGTCTACATTAATAAGATTTTCAGGTATAAAACTTAAATTTTAAACATAAAAATTGACCAATCACAGTTGAATGTGAGGAGAATACTCGATTATGGTCGGTTAATTTTTTGCGGTTTAAGGCTAAAGGTTTGTTTTACGCCTTAAGTCTCGAAACGCAATGTAATAAATGTGATAAGTTTTAACGCGCGATTTCACGTAGTGAAATGCGTACCTAAATATTTCCGATTCGACTTCTATTAGTTTAGCTAAAAACAAAGCGGGCGGAAAAGATTTTAATATCTTGCCGCAAATGCCTCCTACATTTTCATGGAGCTTGATATATCAAAATGGCGCTTTAATAGCTACCCAACACTGGATTTATATGAGTACAAAATGTATGTGTATTGTGAGCGAGAGATATATATTCTCTTAAGGGATTTAAAAATAAAAAAGTATTATAGTTGCAACTTGGTACTTAGAATGGAGGGCTATTTATTATACATTTGAGTGACGAGTATTTAGCAAACTCTGGTCGCTCTATTTATATACAAATCCAGGGTTGCTTAGCTATCAACACGCTATTTAGGCATATCCTAATATTTTATTCTTTATGAAAACAGGAGATATTTGCGGGGAAATCTGGAAAATTGGAATCTAGGTTTTCCCTCATTCTATTTCGAGATTATACTGATGAGAGTGAGAGCAACATTTGGGTATGAAATCCAAACTCCGTGAAATCGCACTTTTAGCCGTAAGCTCAATAAATAGATTATTCTTTTCACATTCGATCGTAATTAACCAGATCTTAAACTTAAAGCTAACTTATTCCTATTATTTGGGACTAAGAGTCTCTTTCACCAACTCCGATTAACTCTAATCGATGATTAGCTCCAAAGAAATCCCGTTTGGTTAGCTCAATCATCAAAATTGCTAATCTAAGAACTAAACACAGTTCGTCTCAAAAATAAGAAGAGAGAGAAGACGGTCTGTGTGTGTGTGATACATTAAATTGCTGTTGACACTTCTGCGTGAAATTAATCGATTAATTTAATCAGAAGTTTGTAAAAGAGGCCCTAAAATCTCATAGTAGACACCACTTAATACTGTACGTGTTAAGTTGTGAATTTATATTATTCAAAACTAAATGTTTTATTCGAGGATCGAACAGAATATGAGCGTAAAAAAAAATTTCAAGTGCCAACACGACGAGGGTTTGTCTCGTTCAATTTTTCAAGCAAGCAAGGAAGAGATATTACATTTCGACGGTCGATAACGGTATTAAGTTTACGCGTGCTTTGTAATTCGAGACGCGACGCCGCGAATCCTCCCAGGGGAGAGAAGACGGAGCAAGGATTTGCGAGGGGGAATTCGGTCTGTTTTCCCTGCACCTAAAACCAAAGCTAAAGTAAATTGCTCGCGGCGCGACTCCGGCTATGATACGATTGACCGGCCGGCGTTGTTTATACGGTGGTAGATCAAATATTTCTAACTAGATTACCGACGCTCTATTACTTCGATAAATACGATGGATTTTCCTCGTTTTCCCTGATATCCTCGCTGCAATACCGTTTTTCTCCCTCTCGAGCAACCACTTGAGAAAGGGAATCGTTGCGCGTTCTTTTCAATTACTTTCCATCAAGTATTTTTTTCACAGAAAATTGAATAATATCGGTCTTTCTTTTGTACAACGAGTTTAAACTCAGTAAACAATATCACAACACTGTAATTGAAATATGTACTATTACTGAAAAATTTATCTTTATAATTTAAAAATAAAATTTAATTATATCGGTCAACAAAATAGTGCCTATAAGAGCTAAACACTAGATGGTCGTGTGTACTATTTTTTATTCGTGATTCTATCATGTAAATTGAAAAGAAAAGTTTATTCATTGTCATATTTATTAATTTGTTTCCTCATTTATAATTATAATCATTTGTAGTTTAATCTGAAAATTATTATAATAAGACTTTGAACACATAATAAATACGTTTTGGATATCATTCTGCACAAGACGCGACATTGCGCTATATTATTTATTGTATTATACAACCTCAAAGTAATGTTGTTTCTGCATCATGACTAATGTTAACGTAATTTTATTAATATGACTGATTGTTATATTGAGAAGGATACATATCGAGGATTGAAACATACATATATACAGTTATTAATATATTGTTAATTTTCACGAATAAAAAATAGTACATACGACTATCCAATGTTTGGTTCTTATAGGCACTATTTCCTTGACTGATGTATGTATCAGAGCCTTATCCTATTTTAATTTTTAATTTTTAACTAATTATACTTATTAATTATTGTAAATATACGAAAGTTTGTTGTTTTAAATATAAATCATTTTTCCAATAGTATATATTCAAAAACAAAAATTGATAAAAATAGTATTTTTATTTAAAAATTATAGAGTACTGCAAATTTCTAAGCGGTAATGTATAAATAATGTATTATAATTACTTTCCAATTAAAGCAAATTTCTTATATAGATGAAGAAAATTATAAAATGTTTTAATCCCTGTACATTTATTTTTTCCAATTTCTTTTAGAGGAATTAATATTAAGAGTTTATATATATATATATATCATATATATTCTGCAGTGATTTACCAGAACAAAATCTGTACCAGAGCTAGCTGTACTCCTTTAAACAAATACATTTACGTGAACTTGTAGTTGCATTGCGTGCAATTGGGCTGCACACAAGGAATGCTCGGCAGAACGGCCGTGGTGGATGGCAAATGATGCAATATGCCCGCCGATCTGGCGATTGACAGTCGATCCGCCGCCACTTGGGCGCACACATGAGCATCCCTCAGTTGCTGTTGCACGCCGGAGGTGAAGTAATTGTTGTAGCGAAAATTAAGAGCTACCGTCTCCTGATCGACTGTCGTTTTCGCGATCGGCAGATCAGTCCCCTTAGCAAACTGCTCAGTCGGCACGATATTTAGTAGGCAATAACCCGCATCCCCGTAAACGTTTCTGGACAGACTGGTATAGATCGGTGCCAGCATCGTGCCGGGAATCTGTTGCTGTTGTTCCCCCGCGCTGCTGTCGACGATTGTTTGCGGGGGCCGAAAGGCCGAGGACGTGTGGCCGATACTAGTTGACGTCGCTGGTTCGGTGATGCCCAAGTTGTCGCTCGCAAAGTACTCGATTGCCTTGAGTAGGTCTTGACCGCAACGTTGCAGTACCAGCTGCAGGACCGACAGCTTGGTATTCGGAAATAGGCGGGCTAGAGTCTCCACGGAAGTCTGAGATACCAAGGTGGTTTCCCTGACACCCTCCAGTTTGCCGGCGTCGAAGAAGAGACTTCTGGATCTCGAAGAGGTTTCCAGGTTGTCCTAAGAGTGAAAACGGGATTACTTAGAAGAAAGAGGGCTTTCTAACAGTAATTTGTGGAAAACCAGCTTGTTTTCCGAGAGTTTTTGTGGTCGTCGCTAAATTTAATTCTGGCTTTAGAATTCTACAATTTGAAATGTAATCCAATATAATGGATTAACAAGAAATAATTTATTGATTACTATGAAACTCGGTTTTATGAGTTTCTTGGAATCATTGAATTTGAATGTAACTTGAAAATATCAAAATTTAAAAGAGTAATGAAGCAGAAACTCGTATCACAGAGCTTACGCTCAGAGTTTGGAATTTAATGCGCTTATAACCCACTCGTTCCGGTCTGTTACTAACGGTCAGTTACTAACTGTTTGTGTAATGAATAAATTTCAAATAAAGCGAAATTTGATATTACTTTTAACAATGTTAAAGTCTCTGAAACTGTGTTTTATGATAATATGTGTGAGATGACCCAAGCAAAACAATAAACCACGATAACGTTAAATATCATTACCAGATAAACTATTGTAATTACGTAATTGTACTTTATGATATAAATAACTTTCACTAATACGATCCAGTGCACGGCATATGCTTGACCTCTTATTTTGTTTATTTTCAAGCCATATTTTAGATTAATATATTAACCATTGCTATTATTATTTAAATTAATCTAAAATAGCCAAGTTTTATGAAAACAAAATAAAAAAGGAAATCATTGACAGTGGTCGCTCATTCTCAAAGAGTTAATTAAACAATGAATCCAAGTTGACTCGTCACATTTTGTTATCTTTTTCTGACGATCCTATTTTATACGTACGGAACAATTTTGAACACGAGCCGGTAAAGCGTCATCGGTCGACACATGTGGAAGATCATTAGCATCTTCAGAAATTCCGTCGAGTTTTTTTGTAGCAGGAGTCGCATCTTCATTTTGATCCACCGTCGATTTCGGCTCAGTCACGGACATTCCGAAAATCTTGCCTGGAGGAAGTCGATCGAGCTTCTGTCCCGTAGCCACCTTTGCCATTTTAAGAGCGATTGCGTCTTCGGCTGCCTGTTGTCTCTTCAGAGCAACCTTACCGAAAACAACTATTTTAATACATTTTCAAAGGAAAAAATTGTAATTTCTTGCAATATGTTTATACCTATTTAAAATTTAATAAATTGAATTTAATAAATTTTGATAAAGACAATTATCTCGCGTATTTTGCACGATTTTGGTAAAAGCAGAGAAAGGGACAAATTATAGAAGAGAGAATATATATACATGTATTATACTTTTTCTAAATCGCGTGGAGTGAAATCTCACTCAAAGAGAGAAAAAAAATTGAGTCAGTCTTGAAAAAGAGTGAAAATGGTATCACTTTTGTTCAATATAATGGCTGATTTTTACTCTTTTTAGAGAGTATGTAAGAAAAAGTATTCTGATATATTGTAAAATATTTCCATATGCAAAAGATAGTTCATTAAATATTAATCCTGATGTATGTATATGAATAATGCATATATTTATAATAGTCCCTTAAAAATGCATAAATCCAATAGAACATATCTTAATATAAAATATAATATTTCCCTCTATAGATGTTGGAAATAGATAATTTAAAGTCATAAAATTACATGCAGAGATAAAGACGAGTAAAAATACGATTCGTATCGATTCGTGAAGTTCCATGCTATAATTAATATAGCAAAACATACAACGTATATAAAGATTCTTATACATAGCGCATAACAATCGAATCGTGATGGATCATGATTGCGCTTGACTTATAAATGGACCTGTCGCTTATGTATGGGCCGCATTTACCATGCTGTTATTCCAAGCTGGACCACCCGCAATAATCTTTCACGTCGCTGATACTGGAAAGAATCTACTAGGCCAGAGCTTCATCCCATTTTCTCGTCGATCTCCGTTCGATCACCGAGGTCCGAAAGGGATAACTATCCGATTTCACTCGGGGCGGGTCAATATATCGCCATGTGTTTCTCTCTCCTCTGCTTGTTACAAAAGCATTCGCTACAAAGTCTTATTTAGGAAAATACGTCGATGAGTCATACGACACAAAATTCAATAAGGTACAATTAGTATTGCGATTTATTAATGACGATGTGTCGTCGCGATAATTATTAAAGAATAATATTTATTTATTGAAGAATAAAAGACTGAAACTCGTTTTGGCACACGTTTTCACAATTTTAGCATTAGATTCCTCAATAACGCATGTTGGTTTACAGTTGTAAAACATTAGATACGTTTAGGGGAATCAAATATATAAAACATATATAAATCAATAAACGAAGGCGTTACAAGGCACTCGGAGTAAGTACACAGCAGCATATGGCGCAAAAGTTTACGAAGGCATTACTTTTGTAAATAAAGAAAGACGTAATCAGAATATTTTCAAAAGCTAAAGCCAAAAAATGTAACAGTATGTTGCAATAAACGTCAAATATATTATTACAAAAAATATTTATTGTATTTGTATTCAATTAATTATTATGCTTAAAATGTATTAACATGATAGAGAGAATCTTTCTCTACATTTTCATTCTATTGCAGGAATAGTTTTGTACACTTTACCAATAGTTTCTTTGTAGCAAGTGAAATATACACGCATGTTCCATTAGATATAGTTAATTTGCCTCGATAGATCAGATAAATTGATACATTAGATACGTATTATGGTGTAAATTGTCTTTATAATAAATTTTATACTCTCTCTCTTTTTACATTAATAAAAATATAATAGAAATAACAAAAATAAATGGTAAGAATGTATATATTTCTTACAGTTAGTAAACATCGTATCTTTTAAAATTACTTATTTGTAAGAATCAAATAGCAAAATATTATTATAGAAAGACAAATTATTTCAGTTCTAACTTATTTTAACATAGAAATACTTTCGAGGCTTTTACCGGTATTTCCTTTAGAAGTGCCAAAGGGTTTACGAGTTGTCGTTTATCGTGATCCATTGTTAATGCCAACTTGCCGTTCACTTTATCAGGGTGAGGAGCGTACTAATATTTAAGTAAACGGCAACAAGGTTCACGAAACGTTGGTATTAGCAATAAATCATGATACGACAATAATTTGCAAACTTGTTTTTGGTACTTTTAATTTATAATAGAAATATCAAATATAAGGCGTTTCATCAGAATTAGGCTGTAAATGTTCAAAGCTTTTCTTAAATATAAAATCAATTACGCATCCATTCCTACGTACGCATGTCCAATTTTAATAATTTCATTACAACAAATTACTGTTATTATTCAAAATAACATGTCGTATAGTAGCATTTTTCTTTTAATTAGTAAAAATATATCACTTAGACTTTACTTTCTCAAGTCGAGAGACAAACGAAATTATGAAACGCTTAATAATTTACTTGCCTCCTTTTGAATAAAATTTTCTCTTTTTTCATTACAATATTTGTTTGACTGAAATGAACTTACGGAAATAAATACCTATAATGTTAAAGAGATATTTTGTGATTACTTTTCCATTGTTTCATTTGTCATAAATACATATTGTCTTTTGTGCTAACGAGCTCCAGTCTCCTCTAAAAATTTAGTTAGATACAGATCTGAAAATAATTTTGTTGGACCACAGAATAATTTAGAATGCTCAAGCATGATGAGTATTTAATGTTGCAAAAGGTTTTGATATTCTCTAGCAATCAGCTCGACCGTCCTATGTACCTTTTTTTTTTCAGATCTGATATGTTTGTAAGCTGAATTTTTAAATACTTAGCAAAACCGTCTTTTCCGTATACACATACGTATGTGTAAATAATTCCGATAATATCTCTCGAAGATGTTGATATTACTTCCGACAACGTTAATCATCATGGATTAACCGAGTTCACGCTTGGCACAAAAGTTTCCGCGGCAAAATTGCATGACGATTTAGCGTCGCGCACCGGCGATTATTGCCGGATGGATGGTCGTGGACGCGTGTTTTGTTTAACCGCAACCACCCGTATGAGTTTCTCGATCTGTCCGACTATTTTCGTTCCAAGATACAGGGGGTAGTCGGCGTTTAAACGCCGCTCGCTCCCGCGCGCTTACCGCATCGAAAGTCTCCTCGCAAACAAAGTATCGAGTGTCATAATGCCTATGCAAACAGAAATGAAACGCTATATCTCGAGCGTTAATGGATTTAATTTATCTCGCCCTCCTGTCGCTTCTGTCTCTCCTCCTCGGGGACGAGGACGGACACCGCGAGAGATGCGTTATGCATACGATGGCAATGTTCGAATTTCGATATGGTCTAACAATTACACGTTCGCATTTGGCGATGTGTTAGGGAGAAATAAATTGTTGATAATCGAGAGAGAACGAGGAAACGTTTGACCTTCCGGAGCTGATGCTTGTTACACACTCCTGCTGGTTATGCATGAATGGGTTACATTTAATTTATCGTAATTAAAAAGGCTAATAATTGTTTGACAGAGATTTATAATTGAATGGATCCCCAATTCATCAGCTTTAGAGACTAAAAATGTAGCAATTGATACAAAAATAATAGACTGCACTGATTACTTAATTTATTCATGCAAGGAAACAGAGAGAAAAACGAAACTTGTATATAAAATTTTAATATATTAAAGTAAATACATTTTACTCAAAACATGTTTTAATAAAAACATTTCATCAAAATTTACAGATGTAAGTATAACATAAAGAAAGTTGAATTGTTTTATATTTATAACATAATTCAGAGTGGATCCAGTAAATCCACCGTCAGCACCGGAGGATTAAAATAATTAACAGTAAATGAAAATCACGATAAAATTAATCATCCCTGTTAAACGTTTAATTAAGAATTCCGATCTACAAAATTGTTATAAGAGAAACTCGAATTTTTTATTCTCTTCTTCTATCTATTATATCATTCTTCAAAATATATAATAAATATCGAATTTCAACTGTATACATTATCTCGCCGATTTCATATTATTTTTTCCGTTTTGTGAGAAAAAGAGAGAGAGAGACGCGATTCTCTTTTCATTAAAGGGATGCGGAACACGACGATAACGAGCTCCGATCGAGTGTGTCTTTTAAATACCGAAGGGTGAACCGTGCGAAATAAAATATCGGAAGCACGTTAATTACGCTTAACTGGGCGTACAGCGAATTGACATTTTTCTTTCACATTTTCCCTACACAATCCACTCAAAGCGCGGAGATAACATGCTCGCGCGTACTAAATTAGTGACGGCCGGCATGAACGGGGCGAGATCCGTGACATTTACATTCGCGAATGATCGCGCAGATTTGACATTTCGGATCGCGTCGTTCGTAGTTTTCTAATATTAAACAGCGAGGAGACTCGTAAAACGATACAAATAATGGCATTGTTGGTTGAAAGAACGTTATTTCATCCGTTATTTTGCCTGAATAATGTAACGAAAAAAAGAGAAATTCAGAGAGAGCGCGTGCTAAGAAATACGTATGATATCGGATAAAAAATTGAAAAGGAAGAGCAAATGATAAATTTATAGGGTTTCAGATTTTACAGGGAAAGAACGGTTTTGCTAAAGTATCTAAAAATTTAGCTAGATACAGATTTAATAATAATTTTAAAATATCTCGAATAATTATGTATATCGAAATAATTATGTATAGGACGTCTTCCTGGAATGTCAGAATTTTTTGTAGTACTGCTCATCATACTTGAGTTTCTTACATACTTATTTTGGCGGAGGGCATCTAAAAGTATAATTTAAAAGTTTTCAAATAAATTTTAGTTCATGATCACATAATGACCTATTTTCAGCAAGTTAAGATTGTTTGAATTTTAAACTTTTGCATTACACAGTTCAATGGAAAAAGTCACTTCTTTTCTCTTCGAAGTCCTATAATATATATCTCAAGGATTTTCTCGCGCTGAACACGACACCGTCGTCTTCTGACTTTGAATTTGTGCAGCACATATAGCAAAATTTCAAGAAAATTATTTTTAGATCTCTATATATGTAACTAAGTTTTTAGATACTTCAAAACGTTCTTTCTTATCCCTACTGTATTAATACTCCATACTATGATTTTTCAGTCCTTTATAGTATTGCGTACGATGGGCTATTCGTGTCTCGGGTTAATTTTCATTATTTTTATATAAATATGCAAAAAAAGTGATTCTTTTTTTACATCTTTAACATTTTTAGAAAGTATTTTTAACGTTGTATGTTTAAAAACGCCGTACGTAAATGTTGTAATTAATTACTTGATGTTTCTAGTATTTCAAAGAAAAGAAATGCGCCCGAATGACTCAATCGTGTGTCTTAAGAACTGAAAGACTAACTGATGCGTTAATACACTAAATATGCTCAATTACTCAATTGCTTTATTTTTTTTTTTTTAATAAATTGTTTTGGTTTATCGAAAAAAGAACTTAATAATAACTATTAAATGTTTAATGAAATAATGTCAATGAAATGTCTGGCTAATCTAACCAAACATGATTTTACCTCTACAAATATTTAGTATTACTCTTGGTAATATCGTTTGATAATATTTACTAAATATTTGTAAAGGTAAAATTATGTTTAGCTACATTAACCAAACATTTAATTGGCACTATTTTACTAACTACATTTGGCAGCTATTATATCAAACTCCTTTTTCAGCATGCAGTAGCTGCTAATAGTTCTCAGTCATCGAATAATCTTATTGAATTGCTGAGAGGAAGAATTTTTGTAAATGAAGATTTACACAAGTATTTTAAGTCCAGTATTTAAAACATTGTGTTCTAAAGTTGATCATAATGAGAATTCGATTAACTGATATAAATTTAAAAATTGACAAAAATTATTGTCAAATTGTACGTTGGCCGAAAACGATCGTCAGCCACTGAACATATTATTTATACATATACATATACAAAGAACTTATTTTTAGAATTAGTCAAAAAATATAATTTTGTAAAATTAAATTTTGCAATTTCCGGGTGCGACTTACCTGTGCAGCCATCACTCGTTGTCGTTCAGCGATCAGGGAACATTTCGGGCACAGGCATTCCCGGTAACGACATTCCCGCTTGTGACCCCGCAGCCACGAAATGAGGCCGTGATTCCTACAACGGGCGCACTTCGGTCTCCGCTGCTTTCCGGTCTCCGTTCCCTCGTTGTTTTCGTTGTTCTCCGACCTGCTCCTGCTCTTGCCGCGGAGCATGGTAGCGTTCCTCACCACAAGAAATCAGTCAATCGTTCCTCTTTTTCTATTTACTCGGCCGCTCACATTGCTCGGCGCGGATCTCGTAGAATCGTGTCGGAAAAAGACGATCCAGCAATTATTTTGTTTATTTACTCGCGCACGTCTTCGCGATCGAGGAGTACTCGAGCAGCAAACGTCCGCGTTGAGATTTTTAATCCTTTCCAAATATATACGTGCATACGATTTCTCTTGGTGAACCGATATTGAAAATTAAAAAATCAAATACCAATTTTATAAAATGTATATTTATTATTAGTAATGTAAAATATATTGATGATATAATTATTATGATATGCTATATGATGAAGCTGACGGTGTTTCTTTTTCAAAGAAATACTGTAAAGTTTCCGAGAGCGAGAATCACAAGACTAGAGATTAAGATTGGCAGTGGCGTGCGCGATTTCTCGGCGATTGTTAATATAGAACTGCGCGAAAAGAGAACCGGAGCAATCTAATCGCCGAAGAGATCTTGTCTCTTCTCTCTTCCGGGTTGACGACGGACCCCCGTTCGATTGGCCGCGGATGTGCGGGTGTACCAGGACGTTTAGGCTCTTCTACGCGATCTACCGTGGCATCTCTCCGGAGCGGAGGAAGGTCGAGAAGGCAAACAGCCGCTGGACCACCCTTCTTCAACGATTGGTTCCGTTGTGTTTACTTTTATCGCCACTCCTACTACGAGACGAGATTCTCGTATCGCATGGTATCACAGTATCCGAGTATCGTGGATACTCGCTGTTGTATGATTTTATCCCATTTTTCCGCGTTACTTCGCAACGAGGATACGCGACGCCGCGAATTAAAAGGGAAATTAATGGGTCGTGTGAATAAAAGCCAAACAAACGTTATCGTCGCAAATACAAGCAATTTTGAAAAAAGTTTCTCGTTTCTCGATATTTTTTTATATTAAGTTTCTCATTTTTTATACGAGATATTTTTATACGAGAGAGAGAGAGAGAGAGAGAGAGAGAGAGAGATTAAATTGGTTGGTTGAATTGTTTATGCGAGATAAATTTTATAAAAAATTAATTTGTTGAGAGAGTAATTTTTTATTACACCATAAGATATGTAATTTCTATTCTCCAAAATAAACTTATTGAGAAAATTAAAAAGTAATTATATATTTTTCGTCTTAAAAAAATAACGACATACAATATAAATGTTTAAAAAGTAAAAAAAATATTTCATTTCTTGATGTATTCTTTTATATAAAATTTCTTAGTCCATTTTTATGAAAAAGAGACCAAATCGATTGGTTGAGTTGTGTGAGATAAATAAAATATTGATTGTTACATAAAGATATTGACTACATCAAGATATTTAATTTTCATTTTTCCAAGAAAATTTTATTAAGCAGAAAATTAAAAACATGTATATATAAATAAATATAAATCTTTTCCTTCTTAAAAGAACATTAATAAGTTTTGAAAGAATACTATAAAAAATGTTTCTATTTCTTGATGTTCTTTTTATATTAAATCCAGCTTATTTTTATGAGAAACATCAAATCAGAGACTGAGATCGAGAAATAAAAATTAATAGGAATAAAGATTGATTAGATACATTAAGGTATTTGATTCTTACCTTTCCAAGCAAAATTTATGTTAAAAAAATTAAAAAAACAATTTCTCTCTTCCTGTTAAAAAAAAATGATAAAAAACTTTTAAAAGATTAGACAAAAAAACTCTTACAAGGGAAGACTTGCGAAAATGAAAACACACTTTTTAAATGCAGTTTATTGTTAAAAATGAGAGACATTGTATCGATTAATCTTAGCAAAATAGATCCCAGAAAAAGGAGGAAAAAGATTAAGTTTGCAATGTACTAGAATCGATTGACTTTTTTCCTGTACATAGGTAATATAAGTATAATCGGGATTAATGTATTTTCATCAGACTGTGTGCAGTAGACAGTACCGTTGTACTTATGGGATCGCATTAATCTGAACTACATTTATACCGTCTATAATATACATCAAATAAAAGTGACCCTGAAATATTGTAATACTTAACTTTCTTCTTCTTTTCCATGAGATCTATTATTCTATTCAAGTTAATCCGAAAGTATCAAAATTTTTATATTTATTATTTATTATATTTTTTTTAAACTAAGAGACGTCTAAAACTATAGTTTGGGGTTCTTAATACGAACATGAAAGATTACCTTTTGCAATAAACTTCATTTCAAAAATGCGTTTTCATTCTTTACTCTTTGTATAAAAACTCATGAAAAGTAATAATAATAAATTATTTAATTTGAATAACAATAAATTTTACTCGATATAGCATTAAAAACTGTAAAAGTGATAAGTTTTTCCATTATACGTATACATTGAAAAAAAAAATCATTATCATAATTTAAGTTTAATTTGAATTTTCGTTGCCATTTTGTATGTTTTGGTATAAATATAATTTTTATACCAAAACCGGGACGAAACACCAAAAATTACGTGATATTCTTCGCAATATATTAGAATAAATTATCAGAGTTATTTAAATTTTTAATTGTAATTTGACTCTTACTTCGCCCTTGTTTAACTTATTGATTATTATTAATAAATATAATTGAGAAGCAAACTTTTAGAATGCGTTTTGCCTAAATTTATTATTATTTATAATTTTCAGAATATGAGAAAAAAAACTACGCTTTACAAAAAATAACAATATGTCAATCAATAGGCCGTAAAATGTTAAACAAAATATCTAAACAACTGCTAAAAATATTAAATAAATGCGTTTTGCTTGTCTCTATTCAAAGGACATACTTAGTGCATAGATCTTTCCTCATACAAAATGAAGATAAAAAATACTTTCTGAACAACTGAGAGTAGCTTAAAGTATAAGTTTTTCAATACTCTAAACATTATGCCATCTCTCAAAAAATATTAATTTATTAATATTATAAAAATAAAATTCCTATAATTATTTTACTATGCAATTATGTAGTTATATAAATTTTAACTTTTCTTTCAAAAGTGTGTACAATATTGAACTTATGAATTTTTTACAGGAGTCAAGCGATAAGGAACGTGAACAGGTCATTTCAGAAAAATGAATAAATTGCCAAGAATCAAGATTATTTAATTCTCACGAGTACAGATTCGTAGCTGATTAACGATTCTTCGGTCGATAATGAATGAGCAAATTTGTCGCAATAACAAGCCTATTATTTACCTCAGCATGTATTGGTCACTTATTTAAATAGATAATTAGACACCCTTTACGCCATTCTCTACGTGCACTCTCGCAATAATTGTGTGAAACGTGTGTATTTAGCATGTATAGAGTGGAAACGCGCGTATTTCTCCTTCACTTTCATTCTCACGTGTCTTTAATGCCTGAAGGAACTTAGCACACCGCTATACCCGGTTTGCCCGTTTTCAGTTCAGTGGCTAAAAACCTTTCGAACTTTTAGATTCTGCTTTCAATGACGTCGCGAAATCGATAAGGATTAAGAGCCATCGGATGGTGAAACTTCCCTTTGGAATAAATCCGACATTTCGAATTTTATAATTAAACATTTCGATCGATAATTGAATACGTTCAAATCATAAATGTCATAAAGATACGAATGTAAACGAAATTTAGCTTCTCCTCATTTTGCGTTATTATACTATAAAAAGTAAAATGTGGACTTTTGAGACATGAGAAAAAATGTTAAAATTAATATTTTGTGTTGTTAACTTTAACTTTTTGACATGTTTCAGGAAGTCTTTATCCACTATACGACTCTCAGAAAGAACATGGACATGATTACAATTCCGGTAAATAAGAGCCTAAGTATTTTTATTTGTCAACGCGATAATTTCCACTTACTATTTATCTCTCACATTTCTCAGGCAGAGTTCAACGATGGAGATTTTCCAAGAAATCGTATACTTAATAAACTAAATTAGAAATTGTTAGCTTCATTTCATTCGCGTCACTCAGCTCAACAGCAGCTTCCAGGTTCGAAAGGCTTCGACTAATCTCTCTGCTAATCATTAAGATTCGTTCCACACGTGACTTTCCTCTCTATTCGCGTTTGTGTCTCCTTTTTATAGATACATCTTGTGTCTATTACTTTTATACATTTGTTCGCACTCGTTTCGGTTTTACATCGGGTTCACAGCAAGCAACTTGCAATAAAGCGTTGTATGCTATTTCGTCACGCGATTAATGAAGATTAAGAAAAGTTACTTTAACAAATCATTAATCACTTACAGCAAGCTTAAGCCTAAGCAAATATGCGTCGAGGCGAATTCGTATCTTTCAAATATCTCTAAACAGCTGTGCAAATTTATACCTTACTTATAAGAGAGACTATGTACTCCGCGATGAAAGTTCAATGTAAAAAAATGCACATATCCTAATTCAAAGATCTGTATCTCCATTGCCTTTATCGAATAATTCTTGAATACGATTTGTATTAAAAACGACAGTTTTGTTCAAAAAAGTTTTGGCGGTTATCTTATAACTATACGAAATATATAGTCGATCAAAATCTGTGAATAATACGAATTTTCCTCAACGAACGTAACGTAAGTTTAGCGGCAAGAACGACCGCTCAAAATCGATGATATTTTTGTACAGAAGGGCTCGTTGCATTTAACCCTTACTAGTCTAACGTTTTTTCGGCACCTTTAATGGTCTAACGTGGGCCATTCGTGTCTCGGCGTTTTTTAGACATGTTAAAGGGCTTTAAAAAATCTGCAAAAATTCATGGACCTTCATTAATTCTTCAATTTCAAGAAAAAAAAATTTGTATGTCGAAAATAATTATTTTTGTATATAATTTTGTATTAAAAATGGTGGTACCGCGTGTAAAATCACTCGATCACTTAAAAAATCATAACTTCAATCCAAATGAAGCTATCGACATAAATCAAAGTGGAAATTAAAGGTGAAGAGTGTACCTTTTAGGGGACTTGAACGACCCACGTTAGACCATTAAGGGTTAAAAGCACATGTCAAAAACTCACC